GCCGAGTGTGAAGCGGCTGGGATGAGAATCAGCACCTCCAAATCAGAGGCCATGGTTCTCAGTCGGAAAAGGGTGGCTTGTTCCCTTGAGGTTGGTGGAGAGTTCCTGCCTCAAGTGGAGGAGTTCAAGTATCCTGGGGTCTTGTTCACGGATGAGGGAAGGATGGAACGGGAGATTGACAGGCGGATCGGTGCAGCTTCTGCAGCTGTAAGGCGAAGCTCTCGATTTACTGGTCAATCTACGTTCCAACTCTCACCTATGGTCATGAGCTTTGGGTCATGACCGAAAGGGCAAGATCCCAGATACAGGCGGCTGAAATGAGCTTCCTCCGCAGGGTGGCCGGGCGCATGCTTAGCGATAGGGTGAGGAGCTCGGTCAGAGTAGAACCGCTGCTCCTCCACATCGAGAGGAGCCAGCTGAGGTGGCTCGGGCATCTGTTTTGGATGCCTCCTGGGTGCCTTCCTAGGGAGGTGTCCCGGGAATGTCCCACCGGGACAGTACCCCGTCCCCCACCCCTACAGGAGGAGGCCCCAGGGAAGACCTAGGACACGCTGGAGGGACTATGTCTCTTGGCTGGCCTGGGAACGCCTCAGCATTCCCCCGGAGGAGCTGGAGGAAGTGTATGGAGAGAGGGAAGTCTGGGCATCTTTGCTTAGACTGCTGCCCCCGCGACCCGGTCCCAGATAAGCGGAGGAAAATGGATGGATGGATGGATCACCAAAACCTGAAACATTGTCATTACCTCGCAGCCGAACTGTAGCAAGGCTTTGTTCATAGAGGGTTGAATATGCCGCTTTTGTACATTCAGATGAAAGAAATGCCAAAACAAAGCTGGTAGAAATTATTTTACAAAATGTCACTGTTACACAAGTGTTGAATTTTATATAAAAGAACCGGCAAAAGTTTGCTAATTAATGGTATTTCTGTGAGGAATTTCAGGCCAAAATGAAATGCGTCTATTGTCGGGTGACAGTGTCTCCATAGCCAGTGTCTGCACTGAGCCAAAGATCATCTGTGAAGTAATAGGCTCCACTCTGTCACACCATTGTTTAACCAGAGTGAGACATCTTCTCTCTGGAGGATCTCACCACGTCAGACTCTCCAGTTAAACCTTCATTCACATCAGATCAATAACTTAAGCCGATCATCTTCACAGCTTTGAATCAGTATTTGGATGTGTGTCAGATTATGTAGCTACAGCTGTTATTTCACTGAGTCAGATGCAGGTTTCAGCAACATTTAAGTAAGTAAAATTCTGTTTTTATCAACTATTATCATCATTATTATAATCAGTATCACAGACAACATGTTCACCTTCACTGTGCTGACCTCCTCCCCCCAAGGCCGGCAGCTGGTGCAAGGGCTGTGGAGAGCTGTAGGGGTGGGGGACGGGGTACTGGTAGGGGAAGGCTGGGGGCCACTGGGGGCCTGAAGCCAACGGGTCATAGTTTGATCCTCCTCCATGACTGGAGGCTCCTTCTTGATCCAGCAGAGACATCAGACCCAGATCTGACAAAGAACCATCAGTGTTACAGGTTAACGCTGCAGCCTGAGATCCTGGCATTCCCAGGAAGTTTCACCAAAATAAAAGTACAGGCCCCAGAGAGAAAAAATAAAGACACAAATAAGGAAAATAATATTAATTAGGTCCAATTCCTGGGTCTTTGAACAGTATCACTTTGTATATTCTGACTGACTTTGATGTTGGATATATACGACATTTTCACAGCTGATTAGTTCATGTGTTTAAGGACACGGCTGCTGATTTTATATGTGTGATTCCCCACCAACCCCATCCAGAGACCAGCAGCACTAGTGAACGTGGTGTCCTCATAGTCATGTGTGTGAGGCCATCTGTTTCCAACAAGCAGCTCAACAAGCTGAGAACAGCGTCACTGTGCTCCACTGTGCACGCACAGAGTCGCTGGTTTCTGCTCTCGTTAGACTGCTCAGCTGGCTTCTCGCCGTGCAGAACAACATGTTGGGGCTGTTTGTATGAGTTCTCTGCTTGTACAAGTGCCAAAACGTGTTAAGTGTTTGACAGCCACAAGCTAGGCACCTCATCACTGAGGAAACACACCGACATCTGCAGCAGCTCAGGTGCCTCATCAGTCAACAGATACTTTGCCAAGAACACAACTCTCAAACCCCGACAATGGGAGGAAGCAGAGGCCACAGCTGGACCTGTGGCCAGGCCATTCACCATGTCAAGTGTACCTATTTTAATTATGGGACTGGGCTGGGGGGGGGGGGGGGCAGGGCT